GCGCGCCAGCTGCGACCTGTCACTCGCGCCCGGGAGCGCCGCCCGCAGCCGCCGCGCCCCTCATGGGTGACACAAGCTCCTCCCCTGCACCCACTGCGGGGACCCCTCCAACTCCAGAGGGCGCTGTCGGGGCGCCCCCGCGCATCGGGCTCCCCGGGAACCCCCGCCCCCGCCACCCACAGGGGGACAGCCCCGCTGCTTGTGTCCTCCGCACAGGATGGGCATCCGGGAGCCTCAGGGGCACTCACAGCCAGATCCCCCTCAGTGCCCGGATGTCAGCCGACCCAGAGCGGCCTGGTCACGGGGCCCTGTAAGGGCCTCCAGGGGAGACCCTGCCGAGCTGCGGTAACACTCGCTGAAGGTCTCAGCACCACAGACTGGTTTGCAGGCACCGCTGGCTCCTGACACGCAGGGATAGCGTCCTTGTCACAGAGACAGTGGGAAGACCCTGGGACATAATGCGCTTACAAAAAACTGCTCAGCTCAGCTTACATAACGAAGACCCATGGCTTAGTGTGGTTTTCCAAGCCTAGTTTTGTGTCAAAGATCAAGACTTTGAACCGATGTTCGCTCACTACTGCTCCCAGGATCAGAAAAGTTTCAGAACTTAAGTGTTACCCAATCACACCTCCCTCGAGGTAACCAGCATGCCGACTTCCTGCCTGCCTGCCAAAGTTCAGCCGTGGAGAAGGAAGGTCGTGCCTTTATGAAGCTTTTTCATGCGGGACCCCTGACTGCCTGCCCTGAATCGCCGCCCACCAACAGCACCTGGGTTAACCAGAGGCCACCACACGCTGCTGCTTTGTGAAAAGTGACGTTCCACCACACAGCCTGTCCCAGTCGTCACCTCTCCTGAGGGGACAGTGTAGCGTTCCTGAATTCATCCAGAAACTCCACAAGGCCCAAACTGGTCATCTGCACAAGAAAGAACCTGCTTGTTCCTCGGCTCCAGGTCTGCCTGTGTCAGCTCTCTGGAAATGCAGCATGACAAACCTCTCCAACAAAACAGACTCTGCAGGCAGCCAGCTAAAGGTGCGGCTGGGAAGAAAAGTCCTGCACCCGTCTGCTGAGAGAACAGATGGAAGCCATGAGATCCTAAAACACAGTGGCCCTCGAGGTCACGTTCCTGCTTCTTAAGAGTAAACTGAGAAAACTGTGATAAAGAACAAAATCCTGCCGCACTCACCTTCACACCCCAGGATGGTGCCAGGCACGAAGCAGGCGCTCTGGCCCACCCTGCAGACTTACAGACGACGCAGGCTACCACCTCTCGAACCCTGCCCCGCGCCAGTCACCACTGCGAGAAATGCTCCAGGGGTCTGTTTGGACAGTTTTCTCTGGAAAGCCTAGAATCTGAGCACCTGTTATCTGAGGCCACAAGCTGCTCCTGCCACCATGGGACAGACACACTGTCGTGAAGCGCCAAGGCAGAGGCCATGGCTCTGACCTGGAACTTTGAGCCCCTAGCGGAGAGCCCACCTATCCCAAGAACTGCTTTAACGTATGTGTCGAAAACATGAATTAACCCATCCATAGAGCTTTACATTCATCAAGGCTGAGCAATAAAATGCACACTTTGGACTCAAATGTAGATTTGAATCTCAACTCTGCCACTTACTAGCTGAGTGGACCTGCCAAATCACTTACGCTGTTTCTCATTTCCTCTATCTGTAAAAATTCCCACCTACCTCCCAGGTTTTTCTTAAAAATAAAATTGATAATGGGCAACACAAAAAATAATAGTAATTGCAGATTATGAGAAACATCATTGAGAGTAAACTAATAGCACAAGGGTCCTCAAACGTTTTCGTTTCAGGACCACTCTACATTCTTAAATATTACTGAAGACCCCAAAGACAGGTCTACATGGCTTATATCTATTAATATTTGCCCTATTATAAATTAAAACTAGGACTTTACAAATATTCATTTAAAAATAAATTTATCATTTAACAGTTTTTTATGAAAAATATATTCTCAAAAGAATACTAAGTTTTCACTTTCTAAATCTTTTTAACATCTGGCTTAAGAGGCAACAGGTAGACCCTCGCATCTGCTCTGCATTCTGTTGCATTTGCAGTATGGGGTTTCTGAGTGGGACACATGGCGATAACGCAGCCACCACCACCTTGATCTGCGCTGAGGCCTCGGGAGTTTTACCCCTAACTGCTTTTGTATGATCAGTGCAAATGTTAACCAAGTGAAAAGGCCACATGTGCCTTGCGGACCCCTAGAAGAGTGTGGGATCCCCAGGGCCCCACGACCCACACTGTGGGAACCTCGGCGGTAGAGAAAGGCAGGCGTAGAGCGGGAAGTTCGTCTTAGGTTTAGGAAGCTGAAGCGCTGAGACCTAGAGAATGAGCAGCGCGGGGAGCAGCAAAGGCCCCGACACATGGACACATGCGGCATCGAGGAGCAGAGGACTCGATGCTAGAGCGATGGGAGAAACGGGAGTGGGACTAAGGAGTAAGACCCACAGGAACCCGCAGGCCTGCGGAATCCACTCGCGTTTTAATCAGGGCCAGCACCACCTGATTTACATTTAAGAGGCCCTTCCAGCTGACAGGTGACACATTCATAGGACAAGACTAGCAGGAGACCAGTCAGAAGGCTCCTACAGAAGTCCACCTGAGAGATGCAACAACGGCAGGGCCAGGGGGGTGACATTTCAGTTGGACAGATCAGGGCCTGATGGAAATCCACTTCTGAGGCAGAAGCTGCAAGACTTAATTATGAAATGCTTGGGGAACAAGAGAAAAAGTATTATTTCTAAGTTCGGGATTTGAAAGATCAGGTGACAGTGAAGCCATTTGGCAGGATAAGACTGGCAGAATAGGTTCCCAGCGTCATGTCAACGCAAATTTCCTATTTTTTCTCTATCCTAAGCCATCTTCCAAGTTATGAGACACTGCCCCATACGTTATTTTTGACAGAGGCAAAAGCAGTGAGACAGGCCTTGAAGACCTTCCAGAAACTGTCGCCACTCATCAAAATTCTGTGCAGTTGTTATCCAACTGTGATTCTGCACACCTGGATCACTGGTCAGCCAACACTTCTCCGGCTCCCTAAAGGCCACTCGAAGACTAAGTTCTTGCTGAAATTCACACGCAGTTGCAGCTACGTCATAACGTCTCCCTAATTTACATGTCTAACTTCATCCATTCCAACCAGAAAAATGCTGCCTCGTTCGGTGTGTCCATTTAACGAGTTTATACTAATTCCTAGCCTTTACCTCTTTCTTCCTAAATGCTTTAGATGACAAAGTTTAAAGGTCCAGAACTGACCTTCCTGCTCTGAAAATCAGTGCATTGGCCCGCACCAGCCTGCATCTTTGTTCTTTAATCGCCAGCTCTTTAATGTCAGTTTACTCATCGTGGAGGAAAGGGTGACACTGAGTCACGGAGGTGGGCGACCAGCTAGACACACAACTCAATGGAGGCAGGGCACAGAGCCCTGCACCCCTGCGCATGCGGTTCTCAGCTCCAGGGGCCTGCGGCCCGGGCCGGCGTCCCGGTGGCCACCAAGGACCGGGGCGCTGGGGCTGGGCGAG